CTGTTCAGCGGATTCTCCACAGATTGGGTTATCGTTGCAGAGCAGTTAGACGGAAGCCCTTATTAAGACCTGTCAACATAGTCAGACGAAAAAAGTGGGCAAGTGATATGATGACCAAGCCTCTGGACTTTTGGAAGACCGTATTGTTTTCAGACGAATCAAGAATCGCTCAATTTTTAACAGATTGCAGCCAACTGTGAAGCATGGTGGTTTCAGCGTGATGGTTTGGGGAGCTGTTTGGGTTGGTGGGATATCGAGCTTAGTGGAGTGCGTTGGCAACATAAATTTTGCGAAATAAATTGAAATATTGGAGGAAGGACTCTTGCCACTTTATTCCTCAGCTTTTGTGGACAAGAACACAACGTTGTTCCAGGAAGATGGAGCACCGTGTCACACTGCTAGAAAACCCAGAAGTGGCAGGAAGAAAATGGTATCCAGAAGTTGCCCTGGCCGAGCCAATCTCTTGACATGAACCCCATCGAAAACCTCTGGGCCATACTCGACCGGCAAGTCAAGAAACAACCAAAAAACCAACTTCGAAGAGCGATCTACTCCAAGTTTTGAAGCAAGAGTGGGCGAAAATCCTACAATCTAAAATTGACGAGATGATTCTCACGATGCTCCAAAGGATCAACGAACTCCACGAAGCGAAAAGAAGATCTACTAGATATTAATTAAATTATAAATATATGAATTCATGTGAATATTACTGAAAAATTTCAATTTTTCTGAAAAGGCGGTGTCTATTTACTTGTGACCACGCTGTGTAGTGTAACAAAACAGCAGCATAAAACCATCTGTTAAACAATGGCTAGTCGAAAATGTCATATGGAAAAATACCATCTGTCATTTGTATAATGAAGTTCAAACTGTATAACATACAAGATTTCATATTAATTTTTCTTGAACGCTGAAATATATCTTAATAAGATCTTACTAAAACGATTTGCCAGTATATGACAATAAACATGATATTGGTTGTACTAATATTGCGTGGCCTATCTAGAGAGCGATGAAGTAAGAAATAAAATTAAATCTGTTGATTTTCTAGCATAACATGGACTACAAAAATAGCAATGCAAGTAAGAAATATAAAGCTATATCTCTACTGTTGACTTTGTTAACATAAATCTATATCACCACTGTTGGCTTTAATAACATGACATAAAGCTATATTACCACTGTTGGTTTCACTAAAATGATATAAAACTATATCACCACTGTTAGCTTTACTAACATAAAGCTATATCACCACTGTTGGCTTCACTAACATGACATAAAGCTGCATCATCACTATTGGCTTCACTACCATAACCTAAAGCTATTTCACTGCTGTTGGCATTATCAACATGGCATAAAGCTATTTCACCACTGTTGACTTTACTAAAGTGACATAAGCTATTTCACTGCTGTTGGCTTTATTAACATGACATAAAGCTTTATCACTCCTGTTGGCTTTATTAACATGACATAAAGCTATATCACTCCTGTTAGCTTTACTATCATCACATAAAGCTATTTCACTACTGTTGGCTTCACTAACCTGACATAAAGTTGTATCATCACTGTTGGCTTTACTACCGTAACCTAGAGCTATTAACCTGCTGTTGGCATTATTAACACTAGAAGAAACGCCGCTCCACGAGCGACTGTTTGTGCTAGTAATTACTAACCATATCATCCATACCTCATTGCAAAAGTGTTCAGATTGTGCTTTTCAGTCATACGCAACTCATTACATCAAAATGATTCAATGTACAGAGCTCAAAATTTTAATAAATTTTATTGATATAAACTGTAAGGTTTTTATGTATTAAAAGTGGTACCCGTTATTGAAAAAATAAATATTTTAATACCTCCATTTTTAGTGCTATATTTACAAATTACATCAATAAAGATATAATTAAACCCTCCCGTACAGTCCTAGTGAAAGTCGTGTTCTTGTTGTGAGAAGAGTACTTTTACTTAAAAATGTGTTCTGTAATAAAGAAATGGTTGTTGCAAATACCGCAGTTATTTTTCTATTTGTTTGAATCTTGAATACCCAAAGTGTAAATTTTTTTATGGATTTTTGTTTGTGGTGTCATTCAATAGATAGCGCAGGAGATTTAGTTACATATATAGATATTGACATACACGCTACGTCCATTATAGTCAGATGACATAAAGCTGTTTAACCGATGTTGACTTTAATAACATAACATAAATCTATATCATCACTGTTTGCTTTACTATCATCTCATTAAACTATTTCATCAATGTTGATATTACAAACAAGACATGAAGCTGTTTCACCAATGTTGATTTTACTAACATGGCATAAAACTGTTTCACCAATGTTGGCTTTACTGATATAACATAAAACTATATCATCACTGTTGGCTTTACTGATATAACATAAAGCCATTTCACCAATATTGGCTTTACTAACATAACATATAGCTATTTCACCAATGTTGACTTTTCTAACATGATCTAAAGCTATATATATCATCACTGTTCGCTATACTAGCATGACATAGTGTTCCAACTATAGATGGAGTTAGAAAATAATCCTAGATCACCACCTTTAGCTTTACTGAAATGTAGGGTGAACTTATAAAGGTAGTGATACAATTAACGACGTTTTTAATGCAAGTTTTTTCTTTAATGTATTATAATAACGGAATAAAGTATCATTTTTCAAGATAGTTATGTTTAGCATTATGTGTTTCAAAACTAACAGAAATATTTCCCCAAAGTATAATACAACTGAGTTAATAACAAGGAGTTAAATGAGAAATATCGAGTTAGTTTATTTACACCCTGAAACAGGATACGAATACCAGATGCTAACTTGCTATAAACAATATCTAATGTAAGATAAAATAGATCAGAATTTAGTTTCCAGAGATATGTTTAAGATTGATCAATTTACAATTTCAAATTAGAAAGTAGTTACAGAGAGGTTGAGGCGATTGGATATCAATCGTTGTCACGAATGGATAATACACCACCCAGTTTTCGTTGATAAAAGAATAGCCCATGAGTTGGCGAAGGGGTGTGGGGGTTACTAGATACCTTCCCTTCAGTCTATGACTTTTAAATTAGGGATGGCGAGTGCAGATAGCCCTCAATTAGCTTTGCGCGAAATTCCAGAAACAAACAAAATAAACGAATCCTAGCTACTACCACCACAAACATAGCTCTTGACGAGTAGAAAACACACCAACCTTTCTCTGAAAAAAACCTAGGATGTAATTCGGGTCACTACTATCCCATTCATTTTCCTTCTCAGGA